AGGGGTATCGATGCACCTTGATCATGCATCGATGCATCATGTTATGGGCAGCCTTTTGAGTAGAAAAATCATCCCCAAACGACTCCAAAACATCCCCAACGGTTATATACGACATCGAACACATTCCAAGCTATAAATACAAGCTAAAGACACTTGAAGAAGTAAGAGAACAACCATCCAAGCAATCAAACACAAGAGAAGAGTTTTTCATTCTTATTTCATCTTTCTCTTGTAAATATTTTGTTCTTGTGAGCTTAGAGAGAGGTTTTCTTGTTTACATTTCTTATCCTTTTGTAAAGGGGAAAGGTTCTAGTTTAGCCCGGAAAAACTAGGGAGTTGTAAGGTTATCTCTTTGTCCTCAAAAGAAAGAACAAATTAGTGAATTTGTTGGAAAATCCTTGGTGAGGAGCTAAGGTAGTGGATGTAGACTTTGGTTGATAAAGTCGAACCACTCTAAATCGCTGTGCAATTTTCTATCTTTCAATCTCCTTACTCCCTAAACTTAAAACCATTCCGACCCCTCTTTGCAAACCATTCCGGTTATCGATTCGAGCTTCCGAAAATCCTAGCAAATGTTATTATGGGAATGATAGAAGATTCATTAAGGCGAATATTATTTCGGAAAGAGTTTAAGAAATAAGTGCGTTGGTGATTATTTTATAAGATGAAAGACGTTGAAATGTTGAGTGTAAAAAAATTGCATGGTGTATGAGAATGAATGTGGATTTGAGAAGTTAAGTAAACTATTGTTGATATAATTATGATTGGAAATATATATATATATATATATATATAAAATTGATTAGGGTTTGTGCCCTAAATTGAACAGTTGTTATTGATTAGCTGTAAGAGTAAAGATGATAGAGTTATAAGATTGGAAGAAAAGATAAAGTGAATTAATCAAGTATAATATGGATCTAGATATAGTTATGTATTTTAATTATAGAGATATGAATAAGGCAAGGAGATGAGTATTTACATGTTTTAAAGAGAGCATTGAGAAAGAAAAAAATTTACAAAGTACAAGAGATGGTAAAGAATGAGGTTATGTATAATTGAAGTTGCTTATCAAAGTTATTAAGATGCGATGAAGATTGATAATCAGGGATAAGTATAAGTAAGATAGGAAAAGAGTATGTAAACATGAAGGAAAGATATGATCTGAGTATAAGGATATTTTGACTTTGAAGAAATAAAGGAATAATGGAATAAAGAAATAAAAAGGATCGAAAGATCAAATATGATAAAGGTCATATGGAAGTATCAATGATAGATTCAATAAAGAAGTAAGGAAATGTGCAAGGTGATGTGAAAAAGATTGTTGTATTTCGTAAAGTATATGTTTAATCACAATTGAAAAAGATGTAAGGTTATGTTCTTGGTCAAACGATGATGGAATAAAAGTTTGGTTATTGTTGCAAGGTAATTAAAAATTTATATGGAATTTGATTGATTTATGATGCTAATTGATGAAAGGGAATATAAGTGTCTACGTGATGAGTGACATTATATGAATTTTAGAAAGATCAAAGGAAAATGCAGAATTGAAAAAGAGAAACGACATAAATGGATGAGGTTATTGTTTATATGATAAACGACAGTAGATGAATGAATAAGGGAAAAAGTTAGTTTAAGAACTAAAGGAAGGAAAGATTAAATAAAGGAAACAACATGAGAGTATTAATATATATGTTATTGTCAAAGTGTGCAATGAAAATTCGAGGACGAATTTCTTAAAAGGATGGGAGATTTGTAACATCCTCAATACCGGGTTAGTGACCAAATTAAAATATTTCAAAATTTGTTGGTCAAAGTAAAATAGTTGAATAGTTCAATGATTTATTTAGGGATATTTCCTTAAAGTTATTAGTAATTATCAAAAGAATTAAAGGGCAAAATGGTCATTTAGCATGAAAGATATTTTTTCCCCAATAATATGATTGAATCACGTGGAGATGGGGGAAAGTGTTATCTGAAAACTCTTTCTTCTTCCTTTCTTCTTCTCCCAACCATGGAAGCTAGGCAAAGGTAAGGGTTTTCTGAGTTGTTGATTATTTGTTAAATTAAAGGTTAGGTTTTGATCATTAGATGGTAATTAAGCTTAAGGAAAACTTAAGTTGTCTTATAATCAAAAAATGAAGAAGTTAGAGATTTAAGAAAATGAGTTTTTATATGAAATCATGGAAAAGAGTTGATAAGTTGAATTTGAAGTTAAATTTGACTTGTCATCATGATAATTAAAGAATATGAAGTGTTAGAATTGTATTTAGAACATATTGAAATTTGAGTATGATTCTTGAATTACATATGAGGAATATAATTTTTAAGTTATAGATGATTTTCATGGATATAAGTTGGTTTAAGTAATGATAGTTGAGTTTAATGATATGATAGGGGTTTAAAATAGAAGAATTGAGTAAGAATTGATGATTTTCGGGCTTAAAGTACAATTTCTGGGCAGAGGGAACCGATACCTATGAAGGGGAATCGATTCCCCCTAAAGGAAAAATGAAATTTGGTTCAATAATCTGGCTTAAGTTGTTAACATCAAGTTTAATGTTTTGGCTTCTAATAGTTGTTTTGAAATGTTATATTTATGTAGATATTGAGCCTAAAAAAGTTTCGGAATAATCAAAGGATTAGGATTGAATCAAAGCAAGGCTAAGGTGAGTGCAATTTAATTGTAATGATGTTATTGAAAAATATTGGCTTTTGATGAGCCAGTGTCGGAGTTACTATGGTAAGAAGTGACTCCTAAAATGTTATATGATTGATATGATTTTCATGAGTGCATTTTAGTTTATAAGATTATAAGAAATTGGACTTGTGATAAGTATATTTCCAATTGTTATAGTGCATGGAGTATTGATTATAAGGATGTGAATGACATGATTTGTATGATATATGAATTTGTGAGTAAAGGCATATGTGAATATAATTTGTATGCATTATATGTCATGCGAACATAAGAGAATAAAGCATGTTATATGATATGAGGTTAGGTGATGAAACATAGATGAAATATATATGATGATATAAGAATAAGACATGAATCAAATGACATATATGTTTATGTGAATCCATGCAAAGTGATACGAGCTATGTGACATATGAATTCATATGAAAAGTGACATGAAAGTAAACTACGTGATTATATGCACATGTGATATGTGATCATAAGAGCAATGATATGAGTACATGAATATATGAAGCATAAGAATAATGCCCATGTTATATGATACGAGAGCTATAGGTATAGTTGGCATGCCAAGAGTAGAGGGTCTACGCGGTCCTTCGGGATAAATTCTACGTGGTCCTTCGGGACGTATATGTATTCTTTGGAACATGTATGAGGTCTTTTGAGACACCTACTTGATCCTTGGTATATGTATATGATTCTTAAGGAATTTATATGTGGTCCTTATGGACAATCTTATATGGTACTACGGTGCATTTCTACGCGGCACTTCGGTGCAAATTCTATGTGGCACTACGGTGCAAATTTATACGAGCTGTGGTGACAACATTTGTGCACAACCTTATTGTACTCACATACCTTCAGTTCTCACCAGTGTACCATGGGCTAATAAAGAGACACTAACAAATACAATATATAAGATCATATGCTTGTGGTGATATGAAAAGTATTGCATGGATTATAGGATGTTATGGGTGTTTCTTTGTGAAATATATGTGTTCTATGATATGTATAAATGTTCAACACATGCTTATATGATCACAAGGAATTAGTAACAATAATATGAGTATTGAAAGGCATGTTAATGATATATGTTTTTATATGATATGATAGTATTTGCATATGTATACCTTTTGTTTATATGAAATGATATATGGTTATAGTTTATGTTTTATATGCCTCACTAAGTCAACGACTTAGCGTGTGATTGTTTCACGCGTAGGTTTCGAGAAGAGGAAGATTGGTAAAAGTTATGCAAGACAGGCCAGTTTCTCCTTTTCAAAGATCAGATCAGAAAATAAATGTATAGTATGTATTTTGTAATAATGATAAGTGGTTGACATGTAAATAAAGGTTTAAATCCGATATGTTTTAATCGGTTTTGTAAAATCATATGATTAAGTTTTGTAATGTTTTAAATGTGTATATGTAAATGGTAATTTTATACGAATGAAACCTCATATTTTTATAAATTTACACGTATTTTACGGAAGTACTATAGCAGTACTATAGCAGGATAGCAGGATATCGATTCCCTGTAGCAGGGGAATCGATTCCCCTCTTTGAATATGGAAAATTTTAACATTCGGATATTGTAGCAGGAATTGTTTATTATTGTTCATATGGTACTGTTCATATGTATTTTACTGTTTATAAATACATTTTTAATTGGATATTTTATACGAACCACAATTTAATATATATGTGGTATTTTCCTAAAATGAGTTCAAATGTTTTAATATTTTGTAAGAAAAAAGTTTTGAAAAGTCAATATGACATCTCAGACTCGTATTCGGGTCAGATACGGGTTGGGGGTGTTATATTACCCTAAAAATATATATGAGGTTGTATATGGTTAAAATTTTAGAAAACAAAAGGTTTAAATTTACTATAATAACTATTATATATACACTGTACACACATTGTTTGTAAATAATATAAAATAATCGCAATAACTCATATCTAACGAGATATAATGAAAATTATAGTGATATAGTAATAAAAAAAAATATTATTATTTTAGGAGATCTTACATTTGAGTAATTATATTTTATGGAATATGTATATTCTTGATTAATTATAAAAATTTTAAATATATATTATTTTATATTATTAAAAAATCCAAATATAATATACAAAAATTAATAAATTTACATTATATTATAATTTTGATCCCGGATAATCATATTCTTTCTCCATATAAACAACGAAATAATTAAAAGTCCATATACGACACCGTTTTCCATTTCAGAAAACAGTAAAAGGAATACAATGACGCGTACGGACAGGATTTGCACAGATCGTATCGAGAGATCAACTGTGGACATCGTCGAGTATGAAATGAAAGCCTTTGACTGCGCAAACTGATAAACCATTGTTTCAGAATCCAAACAGATCTCTTCTCTCCTTATCTCACTTACTTGGATTTCGCTATCCAAATCTCCCAAGGTAGGAATCTGATTCGTTAGATTTGATTCATTTAGGTCTGTTGTTTGTGTGTTTCTCTATATAAATCTGTAATTTCAGGTAAAAGTTAGGGGTTTTACTGTCGTATCTATAATTAGTGAATAGGATTGAAGTTGTGGTTCTTATAGATTGAATTTCCATTTGTACAGATCGAAGTGTTTTCTTTCTATGGTAAAGTTGACGCCTTTTTTGTAAAGCGAATTGTTTGGGTCATAAATTTTGTGAAAAAATCAATCAGAGTTTCATACCATTTTAGGGTTGAAAGAAATAAGTAATTCCCTCACTTCTCTGATGGCTGACTGACTTATTTTATATGGTGCAATTTTTCCAAGCTGTGTGTGTGTGTTTTTTTTTTTTTTTTTGCTGTAGTTTTGCTAATGATCTATTTCTCTATGATTTTCTCTAGGTACTGAAATGGCCGAATCAAAGCCGTTGAGGAAACCTGTTTTCACCAAGGTGGACCAACTTCGTCCCGGCACTAGTGGTCACACGCTTACTGTCAAGGTTGTTAGTACAAAAATGGTGTTGCAGAAGGCCCGTGCTGATGGTCCTCAAGTTCGTCAAACGCGAATTGCTGAATGCTTGGTTGGAGATGAGACAGGAATGGTTATCTTTACAGCCAGAAATGATCAAGGTATATTCTTTATAATTTCTCCTATTGCAGCTTTGTTTACGCCATATTATTACTTTTGTTTCTGATGGAGTTTTGACTTTTAGTTTTTGTTTGATTTTATTTCTCTCTTTTCCTTTTAGACGTGTAATGTTGCATTGGCTTCATAGAGTTTAACTTGCAGTCACAAAAGTAAATTGTGTTTGATTTGGTTATATGTTTTTATTGCATTCTGTATGTAAAGAAGTAATGATAAATATTTTGATAAAATTCTTTTAGCAGAGTTTATCTGACAAAGCGGTCAAAGTGTATGGAAAATCTCTATTGTAAACTGTTCTCTATACTTTAGTAATGTGTACTCTTCTCTTTTTAACTTAAAATTTGAAGTGAAGAAGTAACTCAACAACAGTCTTAATGGTTGCCATCAAAAGATGTTAAATTTAGACATCTATCAAAATTCTATTGTGTTATTGTAATGCTTTGCATGACACCATTTAAAAAAATAATATTTTAAAAACAATGTGAATAAAACCCAAGTTCTTGACAATTCCATGTAGCACCTCATCACTAGACCATCTTTCGGGCTTTTGACATGCATTTGTCCTTCCCCAACGACACCTTGTAAATCCCCTAAATTTACTCTATCCCTATTAAATGGTTCAACGCTAACCTCCAAAACCCTTCTCTCCTTAGCCCTCACCACCATCTTTTTTCTTCACCAAATGATCCTAAATGTTTCTCTCAAAACCATCTCCCAGTACCCTAACACACATTCCACCATGGGTCCTATCTTCTTCACTTAAAGGACTGTGGCAGTGTAAATGTCAACACATTGTTGATGATGGTAGCAACAGGATTAGATATGATGTTTGATCTGTGCCCTCTGTTGCTAAGAGTGAGCTGGAGTAACATAAATGCTAGATGTGCCATTCACTATCTCACTTGTAGAGTTGTAGTTACCAGCCACAGTTTATTAGCATAATCTAGCACCATAGTGCACATCTTAAATATACCGAATGGAAGAGAAATAGTCCTTTGACTACCTGGGTTTAGCTGGGTATTTTGGATGTATTCTCTGTGGCTGTCTTAATTTCCATTTACATCCATTCACTGCAAATATTATATGGACTCAGCTATGATGTTAAATTTTATTATGTTGCATTCCTGAACTCTGAGAGATTAAATTTGAGGTGTTAAGTGCTTTTTGCTGGCATAGTTTTACATGGAATTCGGTAATCCTTTGTTTTCCCATTTCTTAACAATTGGAACACCTCTTCTCCGAATTAATCTGAAGAGAAAGAGAAATTTCATATATATAGATCACACCCAATGATTATTAATATGCTTTCTTATCATTATATTCTTTTTGTGGTGTTACCAACTAGTCAAGGTGACAACTTGTTTTATTTGTTTCCGGTGTTAGCTAGAACTAACAGTACGGTCATTTTTTTCCAGTGGACTTAATGAAAGAGGGAACCACTGTAACATTTCGCAATGCGAAAGTTGACATGTTTAAGGGATCAATGAGGCTTGCAGTGGACAAGTGGGGTCGGGTTGAGGTAGCTGAACCTGCTAGTTTTTTGGTGAAGGAAGATAATAATCTTTCACTGATCGAATATGAACTGGTTAATGTTGTTGAAGAGTGACCCTTTCTAGATGGCTTGATCCAAGAATAAAATCGACGGCAGTACGCATGTTATTCCGATCTACACGACATCTCATCTTCAAAGAGGCTTCAGGAAGTTGAGTTTTAGGAAAGAATAAATCTGGAAGCTACTGTAAGTACTCGAAGTTGCTTGTTGTCTTCGCACCAAATCCAGCAGAACCTTTTCGGTTGGAGGTATTGTGATGGCTGTAAAATTTAGAGTTAAAAACAGCTAGCTTTTGGAACTTGCTTTCATGTGTTATTTACTTCTTTCTCTAGGCAGCAACTGTTATTTACTTCTTTCTCTAGGCAGCAACTGCTTTGGCTTCTATGTTATACTGGAGAAGTTTAATATGATGAAATGTACTGCATGCTTCTTTTACGTATTTTCTCTTTCTCGTCTAATTGTTTCAAATTACATCCTTTTACTTTGGTTTGTCAGAATTTGGTCCTCGATGTTAATTTAATCGGGGTTGAATTTTTAGCACCTCCCAGTTTGCTTAAAATTCATGTCAAATAAAACGTTAAAAGGAAGAAAGTTTAGCTATTTTGAGCCTCAATGATCTTATATATGGTGGCAAAGGTACAATAAAGGGGTTATGATATAAAATAAGCAGATGTGTTGCTTTTTCTTTTTTGTAAGGGGTTGTTTGGAATTTGGACATTACAATGGAAATGCATCGAAAGAATAATTATTACTCGTAATTACAAGGAATTTTTTAATTCTTAGACATGTTTAACTGCAGAGTATAATTATATTGTAAAGGGGGTGATTATCGACCGAATCGATCGCATTTTGAGTAGTTCCCCACTCGTGTTCGTTAAAAAAAAATTGTTGCTCGACTCGTTTGTTAAGCTCGTTAAAATTTTGTTCGATTAGTGCTCGTTAAAAGAAACTTGTTGCTTGTTACTTGTTAAGCTCGTTACAAGCCACGTTGCTCGTTAAGTTCACCTTTACCTTATTTTCTTAACTATAGATAAAATATACTAATACTATATATAGCTTAATATAAACTTAAATTAATAAATTTAACAAAAAAAATATCAAGAGTGTACGAAACAATTTCAAAGTCTAAACTTTAAAGTAACAATCAATAAATATATTAAAATAATAAAGAGGGTTTAGTTTTTGGGTTTAGTAAAATATTGATTAATAAATTAATAGTTCTTTTAATTGTTTATTAGAATATTGATAGATTGGCGATTTATCATACTTTTTATTATAGGTTAATAAATTAGTAATTTTTTTTAATAAAATAATTTATTAAGATAACTACTAAAAAGTTATACTAAAAAAATAACAAGCTGCTCGTGAACTTATTGAAGTCGGATTGAACTTTGTTTGACTCAACTCGTTAAGGTCTCGGATCGAGTCAACTCGAATAAAATTTTTACTAAACTTTGACCGAGTCGTGTTCGAGATTCTTACGAGTTGCTCAGCTAATTAAGTTCCCCTGGTTGTAATTCTTTATATCATGTTTGATAATACATATTGTAATGACACAATCTCACAAGTTTAAATTTTAAAATAATACTAATTTTAAAATTCAAGAACCTAATTACATACATAATTAGTGCCTCCAATCACACTAGTTTATAAAGACTTACAAGTTATAAAAATTATCCAAGAATGTCACAGTTATGTAATTACATCCAAATCCAATTTAATTACGAGTTGCACTACTAAGAGAATTTCAATGTAATTGCACTCACCGAGTCAAACACCTCTACGAAATTAGATTTTCTTCTAAATTACATCCACTAATTGAATAGTAATTATATTTTCATACAATTGTATTATCATACGTATATACGACATTAGTGTTCTTGTGATATATTCTTACTAGGGGTGTAAACGAGCCGAGTCGAGCTCGAGTATTGCTGAGCTCGACTCAACTCGAAAACTTTGAAATAGAGCTCGATTCGACTCGAAAACTCGCGAGCTTAAAATTTTTAAACTCGACTCGAAATCGAAATTCTAAACCGAAGCTCGTGAGCAGCTCGAAAAGATTCAAAATGAAAAAAATTCTTAAACTTAACTAGATTGAAGCCTCAAACTCAAACTCGAACATAAACATTAAATACATGAAAACCTTACTATATTTTTAAAAAATTAACACATAAATGTTAATATTATTAATAATTTATTTAAAAAAATAAAATCTTAATATATTATATTTTCGAGCTGTTCACGAGCTTTTCGAGTCGAGTATCGAGTAGCTCGTTTCGGCTCATTAAGAATTCGAGTCGAGTCCATTCGATCCAAGTATTTATCGAGCCTTGACCGATTATATCTCGAGTAACTCGCGATCTGTCTCGTCTCATTTACAGCTCTAATTCTTACATACAAATCTGCAAAATTAACAAACCCAGAGTGAATAAAAACACTTAAAGAACTCAAATCCTTCAAATCATCCAACTCGTTCTCACCTTTTGATGCATGCGTCAATGTGTGTATATAAATAAAATGAGGGTAGGAATGGAAGTTTTTCCGATTAATTGGTCGATTAATTTTAGGTTCGATCGATTAATAGTTAATGATTTTTTAAACTTCAGTTATCAGTTAATTTAGTTCAAAATTAATCGGTCAACCGAATTAGCTGAATTAACCAAAATTATCAAAAAAAAATTGATATATTATATATGTTATTTATATATTAGAGTGTTTAAACTTCGGTTTTAACCGAATTAATTACCAACCAAATTAATTGAAAATATAAATATTTAATATATAATATGTATTATTTATAAATTTTGGTTAATTCGGTTAATTGACCAATTAAATGAATTTTGTTCGGTTTGGTTAGTTAATTTCGAAAAAATTTCAGTTCTAATTAATTACCAACCAAATTAACTGGAAATATAAAATATTTAATATATAATATGTATTATTTATAAATTTCGGTTAATTCGGTTAATTGACCGATTAAATGAACTTTGTTCGGTTCGATTAATTATTTTCAAAAAAAATTCAATTCGATTAACGGTTAAATAGAATTCCGATTAATGAAATTTTAGAACACCCCTAGAGATGATGACTCACATGGACGATAATGAAATATTCTATAAATTGAAATAAAACATTAGAATTAAAATGATCTTTTCGATAAACGCTAAAACCTAATTTTAACATTATACCAAGAAAGTAATAGGTATATGTAGACACCCATTTTTGATCGAATTTAAAATATATATATATATAGTATTATAATAATTTATTATTATTATTAATTATTATTATTATTTTATATATATTTGTTGAGTTGGTTATCTACTTGAAATCCCATGAAATCCGGTGACTTTGAGAGAAATGGTTTTGTGGGTCCTTAAAAAGTGGATTTTAGGTTGCTACTTGCTGGATAAGGGTCACGACACCATAAAAAAAAGAGGGCAGTTGAGGTATGAATAATCATTTAAAAAAAGTGGATTTTGAGAGAAATGGTGCTTTATAAATAATGATTTTATTGGTAAGTTTAGTAAATGGTGTTAAAAAATTGGTTTGAATTGGTACATTTAGTAGTACCAATGTCTTAATCAAAAAACAGATTACATGCTGAGTGTTTGGTCTTGACTTTTTGAAACAAAGTTTGCAGTCGTAACGCTGAAACTACACTTGTTTATCATACGTTTCCCAATAGTTTCCCACTAATTTTTATTTTTTTTTTATATTTTTCCTTTGATTTATCTAGTATTTATTTTTTTATTTAACATTTTCTACTTTTAAAGAAATTAAAATCAATTAAAGGTAAGTAACTTGAATCGAGTTTTTAAATTTTAATTTTTATGATTAAGACAACCGATAAATTAATTAATACTGAAAGGGCGGTTCAAGGGTGCTAATCCTTCTTCGACCGTAATCGACTCCTGAACCCGACATATTTCTGGTAAAATGCATAGTGTCCGGTCAACCTAAATATTTTTTAAAATGATCGATGACGACTCTAACCTAATTCATTTAATCCAAATCGAATTCCAGCTCAACCAAATGACGGTTCCACAGTATAGAAGGAGATCACCGTGCGACTATCTTACTTGTTTTACAAGGAAAATCTAAGAAATGAAAGGAACTAAGGTACTATTTTTATTACCTACTTCTTATTTATGATATTATCGAATATCAGGGTTTTAAAAAACGATCAACAACTACGATTTCGTTCTCGTTATAGCGGTTTCGTCGCCGTCCGAGTTACTCGCGACGATCGCAATAGCGTCCGTGACGGCCGCAATTACGATATCGAAATAATCGAAAATACAACCGCGACTGCGATTTAAAACCTGTCAAATACATAAACTCAAATTAATCAGATTAATAACTCATCTGATTATTAGCAGTTCATCTTCCTTCTATAAATTAAGCTCTTCCAAGCAAATATTCTCAAGAAATCAAAATCCCAGAAAATAATGCTTCCTCTTTGGAATTTTCTCTTCCTCTCCTTCCTCCTCTTCTCATACTTCACTGAAAGCAATTTTCTTCATTTTTTTTATTATTCTTGTGTTTATGATATTTTATTTTCAAGACTTGTCGTGTCTTGTTTTCGGACAATGCAGGTGGCTTTCGGCGGCGCCGGTGATTCATCGGCGTCGGATAACCCGTTTACACCAAAAACCTCGTTCGTTAGTTATTGGAACAAACAGCTCAACAGGGATACCCCAAAGACACTTTTTACTCTCTAAAGTTTCGCCTTTAACCGCCGTGGACTCCGCCAGTTTCTCCAAACTCGCTGCCCAAAACCACCTTGATCTTCGCCTCCCTTCCTTTTGCTCCTCCGCTAAACTCTTTTGTTTCCCCGATTTATCGCTGAGTCTCGAGAAACACTCCAAAGACGTCAGCTTCGCCGTCTTACTCGACAAGAACTTCACCGATTACGGCTCCGGTAGTCTCGCTGGAGCCGACACCTTCATGAACTACTCCGAAAACGACAACGTTATCGTCGACTCGTTCCGCCGATACAGCCGGGACTCCGCCGGTCACAAGGATCAATTCGACAATTACGCCGGAGGATCAAATGTTGTTGACCAGAGCTTTAACACCTATTCCACCGCCGCCACTGGCGGTTCCGGGAATTTCAAAAACTACAACCACGAAGTTAACGTCCCTAACCTTAAATTCACTTCCTACTCGATGAATCGAACGGTTATGGACAGCCATTCACGAGCTACACAGAGGACGCCAACTCCGGCCAGCAATCGTTTTCGAATTACGGAAAAAACGGCAACGGCGTT